CCAGAGAGCAGTATATTGAAATCATCTACTATAGTTGTTTAGAGCTTGTGATTTCTTTTTTCATCTTTTGGAGCATGTGATTGACTTATTCCGCAGGTCTATTGTTCAGAGAATATATGCTTACAGCACTTAGTGGTTCTTTGTCTACCATTCCCTTGAGCATTATATACTGTCCTTCCTTATCTCTTTTTAGCCCAATTCAAAAAATCAGAAAGCAACAAGTGTGGCTTCACAGGAGAATGCTACCAAGCATTCAGGGTATAACTGACACCAATCCTACACAAATTCTTCCAGAACATACGAAAAGATGGGAAACTCCCAATAAAATGAAAAGAAAAACAACCTTCTAATAATATATTTTTTTAAATGAACAGTATTCTCAAAACAGTTAATATGATAAAGAAATAAAAAGAAAAGAACCATTTGGAAGAAATGAAAAAAAAAATTAAATGCCAGGTAGAATACAGGACAGATAGGACTGTAAAATGGGAAAAGGCTAACAGGAAAAACGATAAAGTGAAATATGTAGTTTGGTTAATAGTTTTATACCAATGTCAACTTGTTGGCTTTGATACCTATATAACCAAAACCCAAACTCACTGCCATTAGATAAAGGGACTTCAAAGACTTTGTGGAAAAATTTAATGTTAATATAATTTTTCCACAAACTTTGAACCCCCTTATATGCTGGTTATATGAGATGTTAACATAAGTTGAAGCTGGGTAAGGTGTATGAAGAAAATCTCAGTAATGTTTCTATAACTCTCCTGTAAGATTAAAATCATGTATGTAAAACAACTATATATAGTTGTTTTACATACATGATATAATTATGTATATATATAATTAGTTAAAAATAAGAAATTTTAAGCAACTATGGTGTAGTTCCAAACAACCAGCTCCATCATGGGAGAAATACTGGGCTTTTTATCAGTAAACAGTTAACAGTTTCAGAAATCACAGAAGGGTCGTTATGAGTCAGCATTGATTTAAGGGCAGTGAGATATTTAAAGAGTAAAGTAAAACAAAGACACCACTTAAAAATAGACCCCCGGTGGTGTAGTGGGTTACACCATGGGTGGTTAAACCAGAAAGACATTGGTTCAAAAACACCACTCGCAGGAGATCTATTCTTGTAATGATCTGCAGTTTTGGGAACCCACAGGGGCAGTTCTATTCTGTGATTTGGGGTTGCTATGAGTTGGAATTGATTCAATGGCAGTGTGTTATTTAAATAAAAAAGAACAAAAGGTTAAGCCCCACACTATCCCCAAACATAAGACATAATCAGAATAGTCAAAACAGTCTGAACAGAATTGAGAAACAGAAGTAAATCCACCCACCTATGAATAGCTAAGCTTTGACAAACAGCTGAAATGTATTCAATGGGGAAGAGATAGTCTCTTTACAAACTGGTGCTGACAAAACTGTAAATGTGTTTGCAGAACAATGAAACAGGTCAGATATCTCAAAACTTAAACACACATAAAAAACTCAAAGTGGATCCAACACCTATCAAAAAGTATAGTGTCTGGGGTCTTAAAGGCTTGAAGGTAATCAAGCGGCCA